TGGGGCTGGCCAGGGGGAGGGACCGCGGGCTGTTGTGGGGGTGCCGATCTGGGCCCACATTGGGCCGGTTGGCCGCCACAGTGCACCTCATAGCGACCAGTCGTTCCGGTCATTCCACCATTCCAGTCACTTGGCTTTTATATATATAGATAGTGCAGTTAAATTCCAGAATATTAGCTTTAAAAAAAGCCCTTTCTAGTGTACTGGAACAAATGCCAGGGGTTAAAATAACTGAACAATTCACCATGATTTTTACAGAGGTGATTGTACCATTTTGCTTTTAAATATGTATGGTGATGCATTTAAAAAAATTAATTTTCATTTTTCAAAGGACAGTGGTGTTTAGTGTTCCATAGAAAGTGCAATAATTGGCATTTTACCTTATAAAGCTAGGTTTTAGGTGCTTAAAATTATATTTTTTTTTAAAAAAAGAGACTCTCCTTTGAGGAATACGTTTTTATCAATATTGGTATCCTATAAACTCTTGTAGCCTGAGATAAGAAAAAAAAAAACATATTCAGAAGCAATAGATTTCCACTTAGGTATTTGGTTAAATGACATTTCCTTGCCATATTGATTCACCATTAAGTAATGTGTACCATCCAAGTAATGAAAGAAATGGTTTGAACTTTTTCTCCTAAAGCCAAATGACAATATTTATACAATCCAAAGTTATTGTGTCTTGAAATCTCCTTTACATCTTTGCAGTCGAATGACACAGGCACAGTTGTGAAGAGTCTGTCTAAGGGTTTGGTGATGCTTGGGTCATGTTGTACTTTCCATTTCCACACTTATTGATCTTATCGCCATTTCACACCATTACCTAGTTGGGGAATAGAATGGTTACTAGCATAATAGGTTACTACAGTGACTATCTGCAGTCAATAAGTTTGTTATTTGCATGGACTTGCTTCCTTTGTGTATCAGTATATAATTTATTTCTCCAATATGGCAATATTGAATTTATTGCCCAAGCAGGGACATTTGAGAGGAAAATGAGAGGTATTAATTATTATACTAGGATGACAGGCATAAACTGAGGCAATTGTGGGCCAACACAGATGTGTGGTCACCATATCTATGAAGATTTTCTATACCAGGGAAATTTGTCTCTTGTGAACTAGGGGGAGATGGGAAGATTTCTGACCAAGTTCATAAGCAAGAATTTGAAACTCATAAGCGCATTTAAGAGGTCAAGTATATATTTTGAGTTTTGCATATTTCTGCACCCCACCAATTGACTTAGATGAACGTGGAGGTGGCCTATAGGTGGCAAAGTTCATAGAGGACCAAGGAAATAGACCAGAGGATTTTCTGGATGTCCAGGGAGACAGTCACAGCTAGGTCATAGGTGCTTAGGATTATGTAAAGACACCAGAAGAGACTCTCCTTTGAGGAGTAAGTTTTTATCAATAAAAGTATTCTATAAACTCTTGTAGCCTGAGATGAGAAAATAAAAACATATCTAGAAGCAATAGATTTCCACTTAGATATATGGGTAAATGGCATTTCTTTGTCATATTGATTCAACATTAAGTAATGTGCCCCATTTTTCATTATTATACTATAGTTAATTCACTTGTTTTTATTTTTTATTTTTTTTGGGGGGGAATCCACTTGAGGGAGAAAATAATATTTGCTTGCAAAGAAAAATATCTTACATTATGTATCCATTATGTGATTATTTAAACAAGAATAGCTCTGAGGTCTAAACATTTGATTTACTTGTAGAGATAATGCAGTGGCATTGTTATTTACAAAGTGCACTTTAGTGTTTTAGAGTTGACATGTTAGTGATGAAATATCTGGTCATGAAACCAGGCATTCCTATTTATAGAAACTTGAAAATCCTTTGATTAAGATATAGTGAGTTTATTCAAAATACTGGTCAAATGATCATATTATTTAAAATCGAAAATAATGTCGATGAGCCACACATATAATAATGAAGTATTTTTAATAAAGAGACAGAATGTCTGGTTTAGGGAGGTTTCAAAGTATAAGCTTTGACATCAGATAGTTCAAAGCGTGGATATTCCATTTACTAAAACCATAGGCAAGAGGCTTACTGCTAAAGTTCCATTTTTCTTTTTGGGGGAATAATTACACTTACTAGGGTATTTGTGAAGATAATAATATATGCAAAATACCTGGCACATACCTGGATGTCAGTGGTAACATGTCTATTGTTACTGTTATTAAAACAATATAGTATTACTAGAGGCCCAGTGCACAAAAATTTGTGCACTTGGGGGGGGGTCCCTCATCTCGGCCTGTGCCCTCTCGCAGTCTGGGACCACTCGGGGGATGACCACCTGCTGGCTTAGGCCCGCTCCCCGGAGGATTGGGCCTAAGCTGGCAGTCAGACATCCCTCTGGCAGCCCGGAAGCCCTCGGGGGATATCCACTTGCCAGTGGGGAGCAGGCCTAAGCTGCAGTCGGACATCCTTAGCTCTGCTGAGGAGGCGGGAGAGGCTCCCACCACCACCGCTGTACTGGCAGCCATCAGCCTGGCTTGTGGCTGAGCAGAGCTCCCCCTGTGGGAGCGCACTGACCACCAGGGGGCAGCTCCTGCATTGAGCGTCTGCCCCCTGGTGGTCAGTGTGTGTCATAGTGACCAGTCATTCCCAGTCGTTCTGCTGTTAGGGTCA